GAGCAAAGACTCACACTTGTCTAGTTCCAGTTCCATGATTACATTTGCCTATTGGCCAAAACATATGTTTCTTTAGGGTGCCTCTTTAAATGTCTTCTGAATCAAATTCACAGTGGGTGTGTCTATGTGTTCATTAATGCGCCATAGTTACGGCACATTAAGTTTAATACCTGTAATGACAGGTACTAACTTAATATACCGTAATTGGTGCTACTGTGATCCTTTAGTGAAAGAGCAAAACATAGTACAAGTTTAGCAGTGTACCTGCTGGTCAGAGCTATACGCTTCTTGGGGTTAAGCACACTTTTCCCAAAGTGTAATCATTTGGAGACTCCCCTGCAAATATGTAAAGACTCAGTTCTTCTTTTTTCATCTTCAGTGGTTTTATGAAGCCAGAGGGAGAATCAGTTATACCAAAACGTATTCTCACAGTGATTTATTAATTAGTAATCCTTTTTATGTTTCTTAGTCATTGTTTTCATTGATGAGGTGTTAGGGTCAATCCCATGGAAGGATTTTAGTGTGAGGACAGAGACTTTGAACTGGACTGTAGTCTTTGGGAAGACAGTAATGGGCTAAGAGCACTACTGGTTGTGTTCAAAACTATTTGACCTGTTACTTTTGGAACACTGGAAGCTTTCTAGGGTTGTTTTGCTTCACTGGCATATATGAGGCGCAGTGGTCAAGTTTGGAGGTTATAAATGTGTGAGTTCCTTTGGCTAGACTGAAAATAGAGTTCCATCATGAAAATAAATCAGAGATAGAGAAATAGGGTTTCCTTGCTTGTTTGTTTGTTTTGCTTCAGTAGTTAATTAGCAGGGATCCTGGTTTTCTCTGTTTAAAAATCTCAAATTCTCCTGCAAAGAATCCAGAATTCTCTGATTAAAAACTCCCAAATCCATGTTTTTCTGTGATTAAGATGAAATGCCACTCATAGGTTTTAGTTGAACACAATGTTTATTGATATATTTACAATTTTAAAGCAGTGTGGAAGCCTACCAGTGCCTCAATCATTATAATAAAACAGATTCTAAATAGCTGTATATTTTAGCTTTTGTTTTTTTTTTATCATAGACAATCAGACCTCCCCCTGCCCCTTTCACTCACCAGGATGTAGATTCAGCTGTGGCTGTTCCCCTACTGTTTTGTGGCATGGAGCAACCTTGATATGCCAGTGCCCTGCCCCTTCCCATGGGGGTGTCCCTCACCCCCCCTAGTCCTGCAGGTGCCCCTCATTCCCAACCCACAGTCCCCTGGCCCTGCCACTGCCCCTTACTCTGAACCCACAGCCCTCAGGCCCCCCATGTATGAGTTTGTAGTGGGTAGTGGGAGAGGGCACAAGTGACATGATGGACGGGCGCATGCCCGCCCACCAGATTTCTGCTCCCACAGTGGGGTACGGGTCTGCAACCTGGCCAGATCAGCTTCAGCCAGGAGCTGCCTCCATGGCCCAGTGGGCAGAACCCAGCACAGGAGGTAGCCCCGCACCACCATGGCTGCCAAGCTGAGGTGCCCCCTGCCCACCCAGCAGCAGTGGGGGCATTACTCCATGCTGCCACTGCTACCATGCCTGACCCTGGCAGCCATGGCACTGTGGTCTCACCCACTGGGCTCTGGTGGCAGCTCCTGCCCAGAGCTGTTCTGGCTCAGCTGCAGCCCTGTGCCCCATACTCTGCTGTGCCCTCCCTGCCTGCCACACACATTTAGTCCTCCCAAGCATTGAGGAGTTCAGAAAGACCTCCAAGACTGTAGGCTAACTTAAGAATCTGGAGGGGAAAGCCTATGACAGTGGGGGATATTTCAGAAGAACCAAGTTCTTCAAAGCACTACTTTCTTCCCCTTTGTATTACCTGAGTAATGTGCTTGAATCAGCAGTAGTTCGTAGTAGCTAGGGTCAGGAGGGACCTGAACAGATCATCTACCCTGACCCCCTGCTACAGGCAGGAATGAATGCTGGGTTCACAAGACCCCAGACAGCTGATCATCCAACCCCCTCTTGAATTTGCCCAAGGTAGGGGCGAGGCCCTCTTCCCTGGGATGTTGGTTTCAGATTTTGGCCACCCTAACTGTAAAATATTGCCTTATGATCTCTAACCTAAACCTATTCTCCATCAGCTTATTTTTTGGCCACCCTAACTGTAAAATATTGCCTTCTGATCTCTAACCTAAACCTATTCTCCATCAGCTTATTACCATTGTTCCTCGTCACCTCACGTGGTGCTGGGGAGAATAATGCTCTACCTATTTGCTGTTGATCTCCCCTGATGAGTTTGTAGGCAGCCACCAGGTCCCCCCTCAGCCTCCTCTTGCTGAGGCTGGACAGGTTCAGGTCCCTCAGTCTCTCCTCATAGGATCTGTCCTGCTGCCCTC